AGATCTAAACATGTACTGTTTGCCTCATCATCCTGCGAAACAGTCTTCTGCTCTCCGTCACCACTCGCAGTTAAGTCTACAACGAAAAAGTTGGTCGCCTGAAAAAAAATTGTATTGGTTCATTTGAAAACAGTCATTGATAGAGAGTGAAAAACTAAGCTTCCGTAACTTGATGGCCGGATAAAAGCAAGCCTAGCATGAATTTTTAGGGCGTAATACAGATGCGAGTATAAAACTCAATTATGTTTTCGATAAGCTGTTGAAACAGTCGTCTGCAGTTTCCCAGTAGATACAAGAAAAATGTTTGATATTTCACAAACATCGAAATCAAACAATCTCAATCTGATCTTCCTTTCTCGACTCACTTTATGATTAAACATACAGCTAACCTTCCTCTTAGCAGCATCATCATCAACATCGTCATTACTGTCTTCTTCAATGAAATTCAAATCAGCCTTCAGAGTCTTCTTTTTCCAGCGCCGTCTAAGGGGAAATTTCTTGTGAAATACTTGATGGTATTCCGTTGACGTGATCTTTAACTTCTCCTTGACTGGGCTTATTCTGAAAGGAATACCATGCGTTGAAGAACAGCTCTTATGTAGCATTAGCTGAATATTTTTCAGTTGTTTTAAAGCTGTTGACATCGTGGTTTCATCATCTACCAAATACGTGGTATTCTTGAAGGTATCGATCTTATCAAGAAACCATTTTCTCAATTTTTCAACTGTAGAAGTCGTAGTGGTGCCATTGGGACTATTATTGGGTAACTCAATATCTGACTTCTCCAAATATTCTGCTTCTGCTGACTTCTCCTCAGATTCTGCTTCTGCTTGTTCGCAGTCCATCGATTCATCGCCAGAGGCGTTGGCTAACCTTGGACGGCCGTCGGAGGATGATGATGATTTAGCTGTACCTTGAGAAATGCCACAATTCTGTGCATTACTGTCATGCTTATTACTAATCAAATGATCCAGATCAAGAGAGATGAATACACTGCTCCTGCACTAATGGGGTAGAGATTCAAATCGCCACAAGGAGTAGCGGGCAAACACTGCAAAGAAATGTTTGCAAGGGTATTTACTTTTTTGCCAGGAAGCACAAGTGCAACTAGGATAGGAAAAATCCACTAGCTCCTTTTTGTTTACGTTGGCTACGCTTTTCACGCTGAATTAGCCTTTCTGAAAGTTTACGGATGAGATGTCGGCTTCAGTGAATTCACCAGCAGCAAATCTACTGTCCAAACAGTGTTTAACAAACTGTGGTGGTCGGTTGTGAAGATAAGTCGGTATCCTAGAATTATATCTTCCATATTCATCGCTGAACTTGAGGTTCTTTACCAAATATCTTCCGTGAGAGTCAGGAATGAACGATTCTACCAGTATTGCTGCAATGCCATAAACCGATTTGTCAACTGATCTCGGAAGATATTCGTACTTAAACAGCTTGTTTTGCGCCTCAGTGCCGTTATTGGTGTTAACTATGTTTGTCTCCTGCTGCTTTCGAAAAGCCTGTGCCCAACGAACTTTGCATGATAGCCCCGTGTTGATTATATAGTTCTCAACATTTGGTTTGTCTTTGTAAAGCCGGGATTCTCTCAAGGCGCTCACTTGCTTTTCGAATTTGTCTACTGTGTTAGCATAGGTGATGCTCTTCATATGCTCTAAAAATATCTCCTGCTCAGCAGACGAAAGGCCATTCTTCTTTGACTTGGATCAGCGGTGCATTGCTTGTAATCTATGGAAATCAAAAATGTACACCAAACTTTTGGGGAATTGTTGTTCGAGGGCAGCGATTTCTGCATTGGAATAATCCACCATGAGGTAGGCCGGATTCCACGCTGGGTTCCATCCCTTGATTATGGCAAGTGCTTCACTTATAGAGGCTTGATCTTCGGACTGGCACATGAATTCAGCCACAACCTTATGTCCGACGTTGGTATGTACACAAACGAAAAAAAGTGGAATTGTGCACCTTGTCGTTTTGTAAGTGGCGTCCATCAGGGCCGGTTCACTACCATATCTTTCAAGCATTTGTTGTTGCCATGGCTCTTGATGTACAAAGAGCAAGGTTTCCTCAGCAGTTCTAGGCCTTGGTTCATCTTTTTCGTTAATGACAGCTTCTCTGGTTCGGTAAAAGAAGTTGCTTTTGGGAGACTTAGTTTGCCAATCTTCTATTTTTTCCCCCAATGCTTCTTGGTCGTCATCGCAATACTTCACTTCTGAAATCGCCTTGGCAATGTGGTTGCGCAAGTCCTGGCGACAAGGGTAGTATCGCCTATTTGTTTTCTTTGGCTTTCGCTCCTCGGGATGGCCAAAAATTGAACCTCTCGAACATATTTATCAAGAGACCTTTGCACCTCAAAAAGGTTGGTTATGTTTTGCTTTACAAGGTCGTAGATTTTGTCAACTACACGTTTATCGACTTATTGTCCTATCGTGGACGAGTCCCCGAAAGGGTGGTTGACATGAGATGAGCTTAACGGGATCTTTACATGGAACCGAGTCGAAGTACGGAAACTAAACCTTAAGTTGTTCTTCGATTTGGCATTGATTTCTCTTAGAATAGCCCTCTTAGCCATCACCAAGCTATTATCTGACAGGAACTTTGCTTTGTCAATGAAGTAATCGTTGCACACCCGAATACATCGAATCTGCATGACCGCCGGGCAATCCAATTTTCTCGAATGCTGCAAGTGTATTCTAGTTTTTGTTGCATAGTCGTGTACCTTAGCGTAGTCACTCTTGCAGGTGTTACTTCCTCGGGCATCCCAATTGGTACAGAAAATTTTAATACAGGTGTTTTCCACGAGGGCAAAATGAAATTACATTCTTCTCCCAGTAGCGATATCATCTGGGATTTTCACTGACTTCACTACTATTGTCAACACCCTTCCCCCTCATATTTCTTTGGGTAAATTGGTAATGAAACATATAACTTAAAATTCCTGTCACATTTTGATCTTCGTAAACAGAAAATTAATCAGTCCATTTGAATAAGCTTTAATTCAACCTAGTGACTTTCAGTTTCCGTTATCATTTCTCGATTGACCTCTTTTTTTTTACCTTAAATTTGAATGTTTGCTAATTCATTTACTGTAATTGTAACCAACCTTTGTAGATCCATGTATACAATGTCGAGTTTCACTACTAGAGATTGAAAAGGGATGGCCAAACAACTGTAGGGGGACATTTCCGCGGTTGTTTTCAAATACGGGAGGTGCTGTCAAATGAAATCAGATAGAGTTGTTAAGCAACATGCCTTATTTCCGGTTTACGTTCAAAGGTGGCAATAAGAGCAAGACCTTTGACCCAAACCTTTAAACCAAAGCCACTGCTCGCTATTTTTAAACCAAATAGACCTTTTAGGTAGAGATAAATGAATAAAAGATAATAACAACGGCAATAACAACAAACACAAAGAAAATAAAATGAAATATGAACAGGTAGTTAAGAGGCAGCATCTCGCAAATCGCGTAAGACTGCCTTTGAAGAAATTTACCATAAACTCTGAAAGACAGCGATTCTTCTCTATTAAATTATCCCTGAATTAGAAGAGTCAGGATAGGAAACCGGGATCTGTGCGCTTCAAAACACTCAGAGATTATATACCTGTTTGAGAAAATCTGTCGTGGTTTTTCTCTTTTGAATGGCTTTCTGTAAGTACGTAACACGTGGAGTTCAACACCTGAAATGAAACTAACAAATCATTCATCTCTGCTCTGTTTCCCACGAAATATCCAAAACAATAATTGCCTTCAACAGAAAAGCCATTGAGCTGTTCTTTCAAAAAGTCGATCTTTAAAATCTCTTAACGTTGTTGGCTTTTGGTCTTCATCCATAGCAAAATCTTCCGGAAAAAGCAAACTACAGTGCGAAAACCAAGTTCGCGCCAACTTTGATTGACATTTTTGACAACCGGAAATCATGATACTATTTTTTTCCGTCACGCAGCTAGTTACAATCCATAAATATAATTCTTCTTGGTGCCTTTCCGAATGCCACTGATGCCCTTTCCGAAGCCTTCATTGTTTATTAAAGCAGTAAAAGATATATGTTCAATCAACACTTTTGAAAAATTGCCTAACTGTGAAGTAAACTGTTAACATTTCGGCTTTACAACACGATTGTCTCTATATGAAGTATAAAAGCTCTCTATATGAAGTATAAAAGCTGTTTCACCGCTGAGCACTCGTATTTGGGTCGTTTTTTCTATCCCCCCTCGTCGCCCGTGATTTAGCAACTCCCTTTCCATAAGGGCGCTTGCTGCGGGTAGACAACTAGCAAGCAAGGACTCACTGCGAGTACCTTTAGCTTTTGCAAACAGTGAAAGCCGTTCTTGGATCACGGGTTTGGCCACCTCATTCCAGGGAATTTGACAGTTCTGAGCGTCAAGAACAATGGATTTCACGGAGACAACCTCGCTTGACAGACTTGACGCCATAGTTAAGCCAGAACAACGAGGGAATGAAACGCGAGGGTAATGACGTAATCAAGCGGGCAAATTATTAATATGTTTAAGGTAAAAGTTTAAAAACTTAACTGGCGTTCTCCGGTGAAAAAATGTGCTAAAAATTATAAGCTTTCGATTGCCAGTCAGAATCCTATGACAAATAAAAACGCGGAAATTTCGGTGAAACATTGAATGAAGAAAAAATTACGGGAAAATTTCCGCACAGCCCCATACTTCATTATGCATGCAGTCCTTATTAATTATGCATTCGACTCTTTGTCTTTGAATATAATAGACAATTCCCTTGGTAATTGAATATATACATCCCTTATTACTACTTACTGCATTAATAAAAGTGGATTTTTTTCACAGCGTCTCTTTCCGCGCTGTTTTTCCCTCTCTCTCTCCATTTTCCCCTCTTTCTCTTCCCCATTTCTCTGGCGGGCACTTCCTACTATCTATCCTTCCTCCAAGTCCCCTCTCAGGATATTTTTTCTTTTTTTTTTACGTTACCTGTAGGATTCGAACTCTCAATTCTCTATCTTCTTCGTCAGACCAGCAGTCTATCCTCTATACCCTTGTTCTACATGTGCTTGTTGCCAATAATGGGTAACTTTCAAAATTATATTTCTAATACCTTATTTAAATTCCAAAAATTAACATTGAAATCATTTTCCTCACCCTTAAGACATGTTGGATTTTGCACGAAGAAATGAAATGTTAATCTTTGTTTAATCGAAGTATAAAAGTGCAGTCTTTCTGATAAATTTCATTGCTAATCAATTTCATTGCTTAAAAAAACCTTGGTCATAGCATTCAAAATCTTTACGAGTTCATTTTCATCAATTTCATTCAATTTATTTTCTCATCTCCCGTTTTTGAATCGCCCTTCATACTTCTGCTGTTGGTAATTCGTCCGTTCGTACGTGTTTGTTTCTTCGTCTTCGTCGTATCATGTCTTCGTCGTCGTCGTCTTTCCCATCTACCCGAGAAATGAACCTCTTCAAACTAACTAAAATATTATTGGACCACGACAGGTGCATACAGTGGTGCAAGGAGCACAACCTGCTCGCGTCGTCGTTTCCATGTCCCAACAGTACATGCTGCAATACACTACGTTGGACTCGACGAAGTTCATCGCGAGATGGGTACGGATGGCGATGCTCTAAGAAAAACTGCAATGGAATGGCATCAATACGCCAGAATTCTTGGTTTTCTGGTAGTAAGCTTTCCATTGAAAAAAGATTAGCTCTAACATACGCTTGGGCAAATAATTTTACCACTTCACAAGCAGTGCACGAAACCTCCCTGGGCGACGAACAAACGTCCACAGAAACGGTGGTAGATTGGTATCGCTACTGCCGTGAAGTTTGTGCCGAAAGAATTATGCAACATCATAAGGGACCAATAGGTGGACGTGGTACTACTGTTGAGATTGATGAGTCCAAGTTTGGCAAGATGAAGTATCACCGCGGTCGCTACGTCGAAGGGAAGTGGGTCTTTGGTGGCATTTGCCGTGAAACCAAGGCCTGCTTCCTTGTACCGGTAGAGCGCAGGGATAAAGATACACTCATACCCATTATACGCGCTCAAATATTGCCGGGAACATGCGTGATGAGCGACATGTGGAAAGCTTATGATTGCCTACAGGACGAGGGCTACAATCATCTCACAGTGAACCACAGCCTAAACTTCGTAGACCCAGACACAGGCGCTCATACTCAGCGCATTGAAAATACATGGTGGGGAATCAAACGAAGTATGCCTCGTACAGGAATGTCCAAAGATCTCTTCGGTAGCTACCTACAGGAGTGGTTGTGGCGTAAGCAATATGGAGAAGATCCTCTTGGAAACATAATCGAGCATATCGCCGAAGTATATGATGTTCGAAAGATAACATAAAAACCAAGCTCCTTGTGCCCCTGTATGTGCCTGTCTACGCAACCACCGCGGATGAAAATAAAAATTGAATGAAGAAAGCAAGCAACTCTACTTGTAAAGGGAAAAGTAAAAACGACAATGACAACAAACAAATTTAAAGGTGAGCATCGATTTTATTTTTATCGTTTTACAAATGTTTACTTTCAAAAAATACAATTTTAAGGCTAATATGAGGCGGAATTTAAGCTGTTTTAATTTCTAGAATTCCTAAAGTATAAAATCAGCGCTCGATTAAGCGCAATTTTTAGTTCAAAAAACCGCGATTTTTTGAAGGTTTGAAAAAAGACTTAGAAAAAATTCAACTTCTTGAGAACAAAGCGAATAGTCCCAAAGGTAATCTATTGTTTGCGCTATTGTTTTCTTTTAACAAAAGACTGTATGCATAATGAAGTATGGGGCTGTGCGGAAACTTTGCCAAATTACGTGAACGAAAATGACGATAAAAGTGCGAAATTGATAAATAATATAACAAACTGACAAATTTTTGACAGGCTCCTGGTTTTGATCGATATCAAAACAAAGGTGTGTGACAGCATGACAATTGGCATGTCTGCCTTTGAGCCTGACAAAGCAAATGTCTTCATGCTAGCTGTATGAACAGATCCCTAGTGAATCGTGGTTATTTTCATACCGAGTTTTTTTTTTCTTTTTTTTCCCTTCACATAAAGCAGTAGATACCCTATGTGATGCTTGCGCACGACAGGAGGCTTCCTTGATCGGCTCTTTGCAAATGTTTTTGGGATTGTAACCATATTTTTGGTATTGTAACCTTATTTTGGTGGATAAAACCTAAAACATCGCAGAAATAAATTCATTTAAACATTTCGAATGAAATAACTCCGTGGCGGTTGTTTTTTATTTACAAAAAATAAAAAAACATAAGATCTCAAAACGGATTTCGCCGCGTGTTTCTTTAATCGAAATCCATATTGGGGAAGGATTTAACTTAACAAAATCACCGTCTAATTCTGTTTTCAAATCTTGTGTTCGATTGAAAATCAGAAGATTTGGATAAAAAGGGTCTAAGGCCCTTTTTGCATGGAGGTGGGGGACCCCAAGTAGGTGACGTAACCCGCCTAACCGTGGTCGAAAAATAGCTCGCGTTTACATGTAATCTTACAACCCCGGGGTGAGGTTACGAGAGGTTGTTGCATGGTCGCAACGCATGTAAACAGACAAAATGACAGGCAAACGACGCATATTGGCTGTGAATGCACTTTTTCTTTCACTAGGTGCTCTTGCCGCCACTTTTCAACACTGTGGCTTTTTATTGTCACTTTTAATGACGCAAAGCCTCCGTCAAAAGCAACTAACTGTTCAGGCAACACAGCAGTACAATGCCGCTGTTGCACGACTTCGACACATTCGAACAAGAATTAACCGTCGTCGAGGTAGAATGTGGAGAAATTCGGGGAGGGCAGAATAGTGGCGGCTTAACTTGTTCAATGGAATTTTGCCAGAAAGAGAGTGGAAGAAGAACTTGAGAATGGACCGTGCAGTTTTCATGTCTGTAGTAAACGAATTGCGACCCTTTCTTCAACCTGCTAGGAGTCCAAGGGGACTTGATGTGTTGTCTGTTGAAAAACAACTGGCCATGACTCTATACTTTTTGAAGGATCAAGGCTCTCTTACGATGACAGCAAATGCATTTGTAGTTGCAAATTGCAGTCTTCTTGGTGGTTCGAAAAGTATGCGACATTATCACTAATGTTTTAGGCCCAAGATACATAAAATTGCCCAATACCATTCATAAATTGAACTCCACTCAGTTCAATTACCATTATAAATCAATGCACCGGTATGTTATATTAATTAAATTCTTGTGTTTATTTTCTTACATATTATTGATTCTTTTGCTTGTATTGTCAAATTAAAAATAATTTCTTCTAGAACTTTTGGAAACTCACTAAACATTTATTGTGGTTGGACAGCCTTTTATGTCCTTATTTTATCTTTAATGGATAAATGGCTAAACCCAAACAGGCATTTAAATAAATATATATATAATCATGAATAATTACTGCGAACTATATAATCTTATATCAAATATTTTATAGTGAACTTTAACACAACAAATGTATTTCTTTTCGCCTGGATACAACACCAACCTCTAATAATGAAAGCTGTCATCTTCCTGTAGGGTTTGTGTAGCACCTACACTTGGTCCTCGCCAAGGGATGGACTGCGGTGTCACTTCTTCATTATCAATTCTGTTGAACTGGAATGTAAAGAACCTCTGCTTGATGGGGTAACATGTGATGGTGGGGATGCAAAGCCACTACCTTTGAAATGTTTGGTAAGTTACTACCACTAGCTAAATTATTTATTAAATTGAACGCGTAATTGTAACTCTAATGGATATCACAGTTCACGCCGTGTTCGGATTATAGCTTGCCAGCCTGTAGCTATTCTCTAACTTTTTCTTCATCTTCTTTTTCACAACAAAAATCCTATTCTAGACGCCGAACTGGCCACACAATGTGGCCATTCCTTTTGTGGCTTTTGTGTAAATATCCTTAGAAGCAGAAACCAAGGGCAATCCGCCAGATGTGAGATTTGCCGTCAGCCTGTAACGACATTCTTCCCAAACCGTCTGGCAAATGCAGCGCTTGGGTTGGTCCATGGCCACTGCAAGTGATGCGGATCGAAAATAACGCCGAATCAGCCAAAAGATCACTTGGAACGGTGTCCTGAACTGGAGGTTAGTTGCCAACAATGCCAGGAAAGCATCAAACAGGAAAAAATGGACGCACGTAGAAGCACGTGTTTAATGATGGACGTTGTCTGTTAATTGTGGATCGGATTAAGGAGAAAATATAAACAAAACCACCAAGATTTATTTTGCAGTTTCACGGAGGTGCCTTGCCTGCTCAAATGTGGAGAAAATATAATTAGGTAGGTTCCAATAAAGCCTTTGGAATATACGTGAATTTTCGCAAAACTCGTAACGGAATGCCAAAAAAGTTTTTGTTCATTTTTCCCTTATTCTGGTGGCATCAGAAGGACAGATACTAATAGAGGGTATCTTTCGACTACTTTTATTCCTTTATTTACCTCGGGGAAAAAAAAAACATGTAGATACAATATTTTTGCCTACGCCATAAAAGAGTATACTTAAGATCATAATAATCCAAAGAGCGACTCATTTTTTTAAAAAACCATCTTGAAATGTGTTCACAATTCATTTAATGATGACGCCATATCTGATACTTCTGAGTCACCTGGTTGCTTAGTAGTATTGCAACAGATTATATTATGATTCAGCTATCAACGGGCATGGTGTAGTTGTAAAATTAGAATCAAAACACATGAAGCTTCACCGTGTACCTTTCCTTCTTGAAGGTGCTTGATACCATCTCATTCAATTGAGTGTGGAGGAGGAGTGTCCATCTGCCCCGTAAAGGGTTGCGGGAAGACAGTAAGGAAAAGGAAGAAAGAGCACCACATGAAGCGCAACGAGACGAAACATTTGACTCTGATAACAGAAGAGCGCCTGAAACTCCTCTGGATCGTCCTCGCAAAGGTGGGTGGATAACAAAATATACAATTCGGGCCAGGGTTACACTACCGTTTTTTGTGTTTTTGGGTTTTTTTTTTCTGTGAACCTTAAGAGCCGTAATTTAAGTCGAAATGTTTTTTACTGAGATCGAAACTTGTTTCCTCGTGATATGTGGTACGTAATGGGTTCCAAAATTTTCATCGCAACGAACTGGAGAAAATCTCAAGGCGTTTACACCTCACTTCGTGAGACTACACGATAGCTTCCGAAACGTCTCGGAGACATTCCGGACAATATCGCGCGTCACAATCAGACGGCTGTAGCTATGACCTGTTTAGTGAAGAAGGGAAAACACATGTTTTTTCTCGAAAATCAGGTCCCAGAAGAGTAAGCAAACGAATTAAAAATATTATTGACCCCATAATGCGCAAAATATTCCCAAATTATAAAATATATTTTATAAAACACTATAATCAACTCACGTTTTGTACGAAACGGCAAACTAGTTGTTTTGACGTCGCAGGCGACACAGCCACGGCGGGAATTTACGAGTAACGGTTACCGGAGGTAGGTAAACACGCATTCAAACTTCCGCCCGCCGTCGTAAACATCCGCCGTCCTCGGATCTTTAAGTCCCTATTAAAGATGTAGACAGGAGAGCAACAAGGAGAAACGAGCTAACTGAACAGCTAGTGTACAGCAGTGATATCAGCGATACGTATTATCATCCAATTCCGTCGCAGATTTCAAGGAAAAATCCTCTCTTCACGGGACTTGTCACATTGACAATACCGTCTATGCTTCCATCTGATAGTGTTTCAGTAATCAGTAATACTAACAGTAATAAGTAATAATAAATAATACTCTGGATACGGTAATCTCTGAAGAAAAAAAAATTGTTTGCTTTACTGTTTTTTTGGGAAATGTAAGACACGTTACCCTTACCCTCACCCTATTACCATAATACATATTTAATAATATACATGGGAAAATTACTCAGTTCTGATTGGTTAAGATAAATGCAGTTTTCAGGTAATTCAGTGCAGAAGAGAGTTAATTCAGTGCAGAAGAGGGTTAATTCAGTACAAAGAAAGAAACAAATCAGACATTCTGATTTGTCAATAATCAAAGAAACTCACAGATAGCCAATCAAATGCGAGCCTTGGATGTCGCAACAAAATTTGAAAATTTGAAAATTTGCGAGCGAAACAATGGCCGGCGTTTTAAGTAGGTTTTCTTTCGCCACCGCAGCTGAAAAACAGCTTAAACAATGAAAACACTGTAAAAGGCGCCGCTTTTTAGTTGTCGGTTTGGAAAAAGTGGTGTTTAGAGAAGGGAATTGCCGAGGAAATCGAAAATTACGAGCCGACCCGGCTTAACACTTTGCTCGAGCGATCCAATGCCGAAACTAAAAACAAACATGGTTAAACCTCGGAAACGACGATTCCATTTCATCAAAAGTGATTCGGACACAGACTGAACAATTCCTTGAACTATTTAGCCGGACTTTGAACTTTTTTGCACCTTAAAGGTGCGAAGATATCATTGCATATTATTGTTTTGATCGTACGCAGTTGTTTTGACCGAACGCACGGTTTGAATAAATTATTTTTTGCACTTGATGCGCGCGCTTTGCTTATGTTTAATTATGATAGACCATCTCGTATTTTTCCATGTATATTATTAACAGGTAATCACATGATTTTTCTCGTGCAATTTGGAATAAACAAGCACTTGTTAATTTTTTCAAAGACCACAAAAGAAATGATACGAGGTCTGGGACTCACCGTGACAGAACTGATGCTCGCGCGAATGACGGCAATCAGATATGCGGGAAAGAAAGACAAGCCCGCACGTCTCGTGGAAATGATGGTCCGCTTTGGAGTTGACTTCCTGACCATGACGCCCCTGGAAGCCGAACAGACAAAGGGGCTCAGACTGGCCAGCTCTTCCCACTGGGATCTCGTGATAGCCTCTGCTCCAGATGACGGGGAGGACAGCAGTTCGGATGAGTCAGAACTCTTCGTCGGGTGGGATGCTGAAAAGGAGCTGGACCCACTTCCCTCCCGAGGAACCCCAGAGTACACTGAAACCGTGACCAGGCACATAGAAAATCTGCTGCAGTGCTACGTGTCTGTGCAGACAACGACTCAGGTAGGGTCTCTCCTGTGGTTAAGAGCGAGTCAGTCAGTCAGTACACGAGCTTAGAACCCATTACTCCAAATGACCATAATACCGCATTTAAAGATCCTCTTCATCACGCAGGACCTTGTTTTAGATGACCAACTAGATATATCTCACCCTTTTATAACAGGCACTGCAAGTCACAGCTGCGGAAGCGACACCGACACGAAGACCCAGTGGCAGCTCCGGCGTGGTCAGACGAAGAAAGCAGACAACTCCCAGACGTGCCAGGACCGGAGCATCCCAGGTGTCCGCAGAAGGGCCAGTAGCTGACGAGCAAAGACCGAGGGACCAAGAAGCGCGACAGGAAGTACCACCAGACCCCCGGCAGTGTCTGCTAGCACTGCCGGGAATCATAGCCACACGTATACCCAACAGAGAGTCTTTGGACAGGCTGCAAAAGTTCCTGCAAGAAAACCAACCTTAGGACCTACAGCAGGTGAACTAAAATTTAAAAAATAAAGAACTACACATTGATTGACAAAATGAATTGATAGGTGCTAACTTCAAAAATGTTAAACTGGGTCAGGTCAGCAGTCGTGATTACCACAAGACATGTCTTTCATTGTTCCATAAATATTTTGTTTTTCCTACGTTTTTACACGTCATTCAGGTCGTTTTCTGACGAGAATGTGCCTCATTGTTTTACACTTTTTAAACTCCCAAAAAATAGGCAGATTCACAATGTTGAAGAAGTGAGACAAGATGAACCTCTGGGATCACTACTCTGTTGTTGGGACCGCCATTTTGAATTGCGTTCGTACTCGAGATATCGCAAATCAAGGATCGACTACTACTGCAATTCAACTGCATGCTTAAACTATGAGTATCTACGATTGTGTGGGGACATAAACCCCAATCAAGGACCTGCTTCAAAAAAAGCTTAAACCAAGTGTTTGCTGTGCCTTAAGGCGACACATGAATTTGAAGCAGATAAGTGCTGTATTTGTGGCTTGCTATATCACAAGAGATACGGAGGAAATACTAGTTAAAGCATACTTGATGAGCATTTTTACACGTGTGTCAGCTGTTTGTTTCCTAAGCAGAATTTTCCTTTTGTGAATACTACAATCATAGATGAAAGTTCGCATGAAAATCTCGTTTGCATAGATGACAGTGTGGTCGGAGAGACAACAGAATAAATGCACTTCAGACAGCTCAACAAGAGAATCCTAGTAACTTACTTCTGAGCCACTTAAACATCGATAGTATTCAGAACAAGTTCGAAGAATTAAGGCACATAGTTGTAGAATCAAGAGTACAGATCATGGCAGTCAGTGAAACCAAAGTTGATGCTTCCTATCCCGACTCTCAATTTTATATACCTGGGTACCACCTACATCCCTGAGACAGGAAGAAAGGTGGTGGCGGAGTCCTCATGCTTGTTTCATCGAAAATCAAGTAAAAAAGAATTAAGATTAACAAAAGATAAAAAACAATTCAAATTATAGCTCTTCAAATTGCATTGAAAACAAAAAACCTCATACTACTTGCTATCTACGGCCCACCAAAGAAAGTTACTGCACATTACCAGCTATTTCTTGAAGAAAAATTAACTCACCGTTCTAACTGGGCTCTCCTCCAACATCAGTCTACTGCTATAATCAGTAATCTTAACCTGAATAGGTTGAATACAGACAATGCAGAGGGAAAAACACTACTTAATCTCGAAATTGAAAAAGGACTTAAGTGCTTAATCAACTCACCAACTAGAGTTCAAATGCAACGAGCATGTGTCACAAAAAGTCTGATTGATGTCATCCTCACGAATCGACCAGAACTGTTCAGCAGTTGTGGAACGTACAATCCTGAAATGAGTGATCATGCACTAATTTATGGGTTTATAAAGGAAAAAGTGAAACCTCAAAAAGATAGGATTATTAGATCTAAGAGGAATTTTGACAAGCAACACCCCAAGGAGGACCTTTGTCATGCTCCATTGCATTGCATGTTGGCAACACTTTCGACACAGTTGATGATAAAGCTAGTTTCTAAGAAGCAATTATGGCTAGTATAGTGGACGAACATTTACCAGTGAAGAAAATGAGGGTTAGACCCCAAGATGTTCCATATATGTCTCATGAATGGAAAAATGCCATAAGAGCCAAAAGAGCTGCAAAAAAATAATCAAAAGTAGCAAACAAGGAAAGACTGGGAAAATAAAAGTTAACTGAGAAACGAAGTAACTAAACCTAGAAGAAAAGGAATTGGGAAATAATGGAAAACTAAGTCATCTCTCCTTAAATCCACACTAAGCCAGTTCTATAAAACATTCATGCCCTTTATAGATGCAAAGAAGAAAAATAATGACAACTATCAACTGAACATAATGATTGACGGAAGTATTTGCCATGATAAATCTAAGATTGCAAATTATTTCTGTTATTACTTTACCAATATTGCTCATGGGATAACAAACACTGATGGCACAACTAATGACTCTTTTGCTACACATGCAATCGTACAGAGTATCATTAACAACTCAACTGGCACTGATAACTTCCAGTTTCAGAGAGTAAGCAGAGTTAAAGTGGAAACCACTCTGCAAGTGACTGGGATGGCATCCTGGCAATGGCCCTAAAAATTGCCACAAGTGAGTTGTCGACATCACTGACTACATTACATAATGTTTGTATCTCCAGTTGTGAATGGCCTTCAATGTGGGGGAGAGGTCGGTCCAGTCTTTAAGAACGATGACCTTCAACTAAGGGAGAACTATCGTCCAATAACTATGCAAGTTACAGTAAATTAGGTCTTTGAACATCTACTCAGTAAACAGATTTGAGAGTAAGTTTAGTGACAAATAACTCTACCATGGTCTTTCGGCAAGATCCATCATGCCCAGAATACGATTTCAAGGGCTCATGGCCTTCTTGCATGTTGTAGATCCTACAACTGAGACCCCTGGTAACAAGTTACGTAAAGTAGAGTCCTTTGTTAACTATTTCAAATCTTGATGTGTTGCTTTGTACCAGCCCAGAAAACAGGTGGCCGTCGATGAGCGTATGGTCAGGTCGCGCCACTGGTCTGGCATCCGTCAGTGTATAAAGGACAAACCCATTAAGTGGGGAATTAAACGTTGGGTACTTGCTGATAGTTCAAATGGTTACACAGTAGATTTCAACATATACATCGGGAAAGATGCTTCAAGAGAGATCAGTAGATTTGGGCTTGGGCATGATGTTGTGGTAAGACTTATTAGTCCCTACTATAACCAAGGTTATCACTTGTTTATTGACAATTTTTATTCTTCAGTTTATCTCATGAAGCATTTATTTCAGCATGGAGTCATAGCTACAGGTACCATTTTGCAAACCAGGAAAGATATGCGAGAAAATTTCAAGAAAGGAAGTGAATGGGGAAAGGGCAAAGCCAGGGGTACTATGCGGTGGCAGAGGGATCCACCCTGCTTGGTCTTGCAGTGGGTTGACAGTAAAGTCGTAACTGCGATCACCACTACTAGTAATGCTAATGACTCTGTTCAGGTAAAGCGTAGAGTAAAAAAATGATGACGGTGTATGGAACTCAGTAGATGTACGTCAGCCTCAAGTCTTTGCAATGTACAATCAGTATATGTATGCTATGTACCGATCTGACCGGATACTGGCCACCCACAATGTGCAACGGAAATGCGCAAGGTGGTGGAAGACACTTTTTTACCACCGTATTGACATTGCTGTTGTCAAGAGTTTTATTCTTTTCAGAGAACACCAGCAGAACAATCCAGATAATGCTGCCCTCAAAAGGATATCAGAATATCCACAGGGTGACTTCAGGGAGGAGATTATCCGTGGAATCTGTGGCTTTCCTGACTATGACGACCCACCTGTGTCCACTTTAGGCAGACCCCCAAGGTCAGCTACCCAAACCAGCCAATTTGTGACAGAACACATTCCAGTTCAGGGTGAGCATAGGAGAAACTGTGTGGTCTGCTACAAGGAAGGTAGGGGTGAGGTAAGGTACAAACCTATTGAAGTGCACCGCAGTGTGAGGGAAAGTATATGCATGTTGCTAAGCAGAGGAACTGCTTTACAGTATTTCATAGTGCAGAGTATCACCTTTCTGATCCTTGAACTTTGATTTCCTGGTTGCTCTGAAACCCTCTGTAGTTTTATGTTGTGTTGTGCATGTAGATAGGAGAATTGCTGTGTTTTGTTATTGCTTATGCTTTGAATATTGTGATGAATGTCTTTTATCATTTAGCTGTGGGGCCTGCCTAAATGTGGCAGGGGTGAGAGGAGGGTGCCCCACACAATTTTTTTTTTACCATCATTTTCTTGAAGGTAAATACACACCATTCAAACTATATGTATAATAGAAAAAAAAATTCCATTTTATTCACTTCAATCAGTGTTCACTAAATATGTGTCAGACATCTCAGATGTTGTTTTTCCGCCAATTTTTATGGAGATGTTACCCATATAACAAGGAACCTTTTTGGTTAATTTTTGCCTCATTACTTTATATCATTTGGGTAACACTTAATTCACAGTTCAAATTTTGATGATATTGTATGCTAATTGATGTTAGTTTGAAAGCATTCAATGAGGTTGTTTCCTTTTTATTGGAGAAGAAACATGCATTTCAGGAAAGCTTATTTATTGCTGTTTCAATTGAGGTATAGCTTACTTCCCTTGTGTAAATACTTGGTGAGGAATAAATTTTTCAATAATCTGGTTCAATTTTTATGGTTTTGGGGTACAGTTTGTAAAAATATTCTAATTCATTCTGTATTTGTTCTTTTTCAGCCAGAGTCTATGTATGTCTTACCCATAAGATAAGGAATATTAATATATAATATAATAATATAATAATATTTTTATCTTGGAAATGTTTCCTTGTAACGCCAATCCATTCGGGCCCAAGCTGTTTCAAAGTCAAAAGTTGTACGATAATCTATGCAAATCGTGTGCCATTTTTCTTAGCATGATTTAAAATCCACAAATTTTTTCTGAAAAGTTAATTTTGTCCTCTTTCAAATGACATATAGCACTAATCACTAGTGTAAATACTGTTGACCAAAAAAATAAAAGAAAAAAGGTTGCCATCATTTGTCATTTTTTTTAAAGTCTACTATAAAGAGTTAATTACAGAATGTTTGAACACTGGAGACCTACCTGAAGATAGGAGGATTCACCTTCCCAGGGCCTTAGAAAACATATTAAATTACTTTTCTTATTTTTAGTCAATTTATTTGTTTGATTACTTAATTTGATTATGTTATCTATTTTCATGTTACAGGTAAACTTTCTTTAAAACTTAATTACAGCCCTGTCTATTAATCAGAGAGCAAAAAGTTCACATCCAAAGGACATTCAGAAATTTGGTATCGTGACTCTGCAATATTGAAACCACTTCAATACATTTGAGACTACTCTAAACCAGGCAACCATCACATATAAATCATCACTTTAAGAATGCAATAAG